GATGCCCATCAGCCATTGGTTGTGATGGCAGATGGGAGATATTGTTGGAATTTTTTTTTGCCAATGATTGCCAGATACACGAGACAAAGTAGTCCTTACATTCTCCAACATACATCTTTTGATTGTGATAGAATTTCAAATAAATTCCAAACAAAGTCCATATTTCATAAAGCTTAAAACGGACAGATTGACCTTAGACTTGAGTCTGCTTTATGACAGAGTAAGCACAGATCATTGTTGTCTTATATTATTTAATGAAGTCTAAAATGCAGTAAATGTGGAATAATTGCATGCTGATATATGTTATATAAGAAGTGCAACATGTATGGTTAATATGTCATTAATGGACTTTTAGAATATTTCTAGGACAATCTTCACACTTGGGAAACCAAGCTCCAGCTTTTTTATCACATTGTGCAGCTTGAGTGCAAAACAATGCATTTGGGGAGATGTATTTATTGGGCACCTTGCTTCTCCTTAGTATCTAAGAAAAAACTCTTAGAACATCATTGTTGGATCGATTCCCCCTTTCCTTTTACTTGTCTCTTGCCTTATCAAGTGGCAGTATATTCTCCTACTGCTCAGATTCCAAAAATTATGGTGGCCAATTTCTTAAACTGGACAACAGTGAAAAGCCCATATCGTCCAAGAGGCATTCTTGTTATAATAATGCTCAGTGTCTCAATGAATTACTATGAATCACTATAGTTTCAATGCCATCTACAAGAGCTCTATCATCTACAAAAGTCAAACTTTTTTCACTTTGTATTTCCCATTATACAGCTGCATTATGCCTCAATAAAACCTACAGTAAATATCTATCATCGTTCTTATACCAATCTCACTTGACAGTATGAGCCCTAGTGGAGGGTTTTACTAAACAAATTCCCTGGATTTCCCTTGATGTTATATGAAGCCAACCAGACTGGCTTTGATCAGTTCTCCATGATTTGCTGTCCTTAAATAAATATGTATTCTGTCTCGTTTTCCACCCGGCCAACTTTGTCCTCAGCTCTATAGAACACAAGGTCCTTCCCACATCTACTGTGTCTTGGCGCTGTTGCAGTAAGCCTTTTAACGGCTTACAATGCTTAGGCCAAGTGCCAAATATTTAAAAAGCAATTATTAAACATTGTCATACCATAAAACGATGTTCCCATCTGTTATACTTCAAGTGGGAAAGATGTGGTAAGACTGAATTTCCAGATACAGTAGACACAATTATACTTTTACGTGGCATGTAACAGGATTTATAACTTGTAACCTTCAAACTCCAATTAGTAAAAATATGTTTGATTCGATGTTCAAGCCTTTAAAGAACTATTTAAATGAAGAAATATAAGCCAAATGCCTAGAGACATTAACTGAAATGTAAGGAAAGGAAAGTACAGAGACTGTGCAACTCTATTGTTTGTTTTTTAATTTTAAAAAAGAGCCACTTCATGGTCTAGTTAGATTAATTTAGGCTGAGTAATTGGGATTAAAAAAAACAAAAAAAAAAAACAACAACATTCTAAATAAGATCATTTTGTTGTAACTAATGTTCTTTGAAAAAAATGTCAACACAATAACGAGGTTGACAATGAATTGATAAAAACAAGAATGAGAATAGAAACACAGGAACTAACTTCAAAAATAACTATCGTAATAAAAAGAAAAAGAAAAAACAAGGAAAAGCAAATGAAACTAAAAATAAAGTAATGTATGTTAGCGGTAAAAACTGATTTTATTATTATTTTTTTTTTTTTTTTGCATACACTGTAGAAGCCTTATGTCTCCTGGGATTCTCTGCAGGTCAATGCTAAATAGGGACATGGAATGAGGCACCTGTGACAGGGAGGGGTACAAAACCAAGGCATTGGCCTGGACTCCCAAATATTTAAATGAAACCAACAGGGTTGCACTCACCTGAACATGCATACATTATAGGGTGCTGCTGGGGCCAATTAATACAACATACAAAATCCAGCGTACCCACTCATTTATTAAACATTAATTTCAAGTATCAAAGAATGGAATAGTTTTATTTAAAAAGACGTCACCTAGGCAAAAAAGAGCAAGCATTAGGCTGCTAGAGTAGAACATGCCAAGAATGGGGTACATTGACGCTGTGGCAGACTTATGCAATGTATGATCATATACTGTTATTAAATCCACATTATTATTTGCCTAGGTAAGGTGTTTTTAAATAAAACTATTCCATTCTATGAGACTTGAAATCAGATCAGCTGGTGTTGCTGCACGGTGAATGAAGAGCTCACAAGCCTCTTTTTTTGTAGGTCCTGAAAGCTGCAGTGACCACATTTTTGCAGCTCCCCTCTAAAAATGTTGGGGTACTGAATTGATTGTTCAGATGTGAACTCAGGACGTGGCTCCATGCAGACTGAGATTTTAGTGAGACATTAATATATCTATTAATGTATCACTAAATATACAATACTTTCCTGTGGGGGAAGTCCTCATGTGAGCATTGCACTCAGAGGAGCGGAAACAGAGTCTGAAAAAGCACCAAGGGACATCGGCGCTGGAATCAGGTAAGTGGTAAAGGGATTTTTACCCACCACGGGGTTGGGGAGTGGGGGGGCGCCAGGGAACGGGGCACTATTGGCCACTCTAGTGCTAGGAAAACAAATTTCTCTTCCTAGCACTATAGTTTCCCTTAAAACAAACAGAACCCTGAGATTTGGATGTCAGATCTAGTGCATATTTCCAACTCTAAGTTTGAGGATACCCAGCCCTTGCAGTGGTTAATGCTTCACATGAATTCATTAGTCGTGATTGACATGTTATACTCTGCTCCTAACATCTCTGGTAGCTTGTTAAACTCCTGCTAATGTAAGAACATGAAATTTAGTCCTGATGCACACACCAAGCCTATATTTAATACAAGCCAGGGGGGTAATTTTAATAGCAGGCTTAATGTGTAATTTGCTAAACACTATTTCTTAAGAAGTGTTTAATTACGAAGAGTCCCTATAGCGATCAAAGTCTGATTAAAGTGTATGTTTATTTTTGGAAGGCTGATTATGTGGGTGGTCTCCTCACATCATTCTCATTAAGGCTTGATGGCATATTCTGTAAAATTACTAATTTTCACTCATTTCTCTGTTATCTGCTTAAATATACTTCCTTCCGTGCAGTATTGTGCCACATGATTAAAATGATTAACCCTCTGTGGACTGTAGAGTGTTTTAAAGAGCTATGCTATCTGCATTCTGGGTAAAGGTTTAATAGGGGTTTCCTGCAAAATACTACTTTACTGTAACTCATCACAATATTTATTAAACCTTTATCAAATGCCTTCAATTGTATGTTTAATCGGGCGTGGACAAAGGTTTTCTCATCAGAATTATCTGGGAATCCTAATGTAATCAATATATTTTATAGATGGGATTTGGTATTTCAGTTTAGAATTCTATATGAGGTTTATGAAATCTCTATGGAATTCTAGCCTCAACTCAAAGCAATCTATTTTAAACCTTACTATCAACCTTCACAAGGGTTTCATCATTTTCATATTTTTGGGGTATAAAAATGTATGTTTTTGCTCCAAAAAATGTTTAGTACGTTTTGCAATTCTAAAAAAATGCAAACATTACATTTGAGGGAAAGGCAACATAAAAATTCATATTTTAATAAACATTAGCAAGGAAGTTAAAATAAAAAAATAAATTAAATTAGTATTTTATTAGTTTAAAGTAAATTCTAAAATTGACCTATTCTGCTAAGCTTTTGTACCCCCTTCTTGCCCAGTAACTGCCTTGTTCATTCTGTGCAGTGTCTCTCAAAGAGAAGCATTGTGGACACAGTAAGCACATTTGGAAGCTATAAAAAAAATATACTTATAAATGGATATTATTTAATAATGTTATATATAAATCATGAATACATACTGGATATTTTAGAAATGTTATAAATCACTAAAAAAATACTCATATTGAACTAAGATGATTTCAAAACTATGATTCTTTAACTGCTAACATTTTGACAAGTTTTAAAGGTTGACCTTGATAGACTTGAGTATTTGGAAACCTAAACTATGCAACTAAGTAAGAATGCTATATCAGAACTGATCAATAAAATAGTAACAGTGTGAAAGTACAATGAATCTTATTTTTTTTAATGATTAATAAATTAACAATAAAATACAAAAAATAAAATTAAGAAATCTGACTTAAAATGGTGATGTTTGTTTTCAATTGTTTGATACACAAATGTGAATATTTTATCTGCTTGGCAATACTTTCTGATACCTATTACATTTAATTTAAAAGAGAAGTATTGGTACAAAACTACTTGCTACACTGCAATAGTACTCAAGCAACGTTTCCCATATGGTTTTAGAGGGTCTAGCTGATTTCTACAAAATATTATGATGCTTTTAGCAGATACCATCCCTCATACAGTAACGGAAGAGGTATTTTAAGATGTTTATATTAGATTTAAAATTAAAGACATTTTAGGTTTATAGGAGTGACGTGACTGATAGGCATACAGAGTGGCATAGACTTTAATATCTACAAAATAAATAAATAAACAGTGTGTTGTTAAGTTGCCCAGATTGTTTAATCAATGGGTTGAAGAACAATTAATATATTTTTTTAAAGCCCCGTGTCTTGCCAGTGTAACTGTCCTGCAGACAAGTGGGTCATTAAGGGGAAGATTAAACAAACATCAATCAGTCTGTTATCTTGACAAGATAACATGCATGGGTTATGCCTGCTGTGTGCAAACCTGTCACCATATTCACCAACTAATCTCGCTTATAACTAGCTGGGCGGCCTCGCAGATACACATTTCACTCTTGCAGATCCTCCATAGATACAAGTTCATAATAGTTCAAAAGTCAAACATTCTATCAGTTACAATTTTTTTTTTTTTTTACGTAATCAATGTAATCAAAAGTTTATTTGCACTTTTTTTAAAACAGTAAAAAACATCAGTCAAAACCTTTTAGTGTTGCACCAGATCTCAATAAAACATCAGATCCATTCATTTTTGGCTATGATACTGATCCAATACTAGTCTTCTTCCCAGTCTGCTAGTATATTGTGCTTATCCTATTAAAAGGTAGGAGGTGTACACTACTATGGCAAGTGTCCACTGTTTGCCTGCTTCCTGTATTTGTCACATGGTATAGGTAGGAGCTACGGCCCACAATGTCCTGCTTCTGCATCCCAATCTGCCTGGTCCATGCATTTGTCACACGACATAGATAAGAATAGCCATCAACACCACAATAAACTTGCTCCTCATTCTCTCTACTTACTAAACTTGCCAGGATATTCTGTAACGATGTACAATGGATTGCTAAAACCTAAAAGTAAATGATGACAAGTTGCAGAATGGCAAGGAGAAGCGATGATTACCTTTGCTACAGAATGTTTAACATGTTTCTAAGTATTTTTTTAAGTAACAACGTGGCGCACAACAAAATCCACTTCCGAGCTCTTTAGTAACTTGTTAAAACAGAATTTTAATAAGTCTAACGCAAAAGTACAGATTGACATTAAATGAATGACACAAGTGGAGAACATCACAGACATGTTTTCACTTATAATGAAATGAGATGAACAGAGCGGGCATGGCTGTGCGTTTATAGAAAATGCGTTGGAACATTTGCACATGTGTGAACAGATTTGTTTGAGCCATTACATCAAGAATGTATGTAAACCAAAAACAGATTGGTTGCATCAAGAAAATAGGGTCTGTAGGAATTCACAGTAATTATGAATCATAATATAACAGAATCTCTAAAACATTCACTAACTTACAACGTGTAATAAATGACTCAACAAATGTGCTTCTTCAATAAACATTTACTGAATTTGTTTAAAAGCTGAGTTTTTTTTTTCTGGGTGTCCTTTCTCTTTTTAACACGCAGAAATAAAAATATCCCAGAATTAAATTTTCTTTCTTATCTTGCTGGGGTAAAACTAGTAACGGAAATAATCTGTTTTGTTCTGCATCTGCTGCCAGAAATAATTACTCATTAATTATTTGTTAAAAGCACTCTGAGCTGTATTTAGAAAAATCAGTGATTTGCTACGACCACAATTTACTTTCCGAGGCAAAAGAGACACTGGGAGCACTTGATAAATCCAGAGAGTTGTAAACAAGGACTGCCATTAACAAGAGGAGGTAATTTCTATAAGGATTAAATGTGGGGAGGCTGTCATTCCTCAGCTGATAAATGATAGCTAATAAAAGCTTCTTCCCTGCTTTTTCTCACTTTTGACCAATCACAAGCCTCTGCCGGATGACTCTTGGCCCCACCCCCCATAAATCCCGTAGACATCACATCCATCTACACGCTTTCTACAGCCCATCTGAATTAGTAAAAGCCTGTTTGTTTGCGTCTGGTGGCCGGCTGCCATTTTTGACATAAAAATTATGCTATTTCCATTAACATCTGACATGGATATGAGGCACAAATACAGCACCGTTCACAGCATTTGTGTAAACATACTGAAGCAGCCCATGTCTATCCCTTTTCTCTGCTCTTAAAAAGTATAATAATTCATATTAATTATATTGCTCCTGTGTAAACATACTGGAAGTTGCAAGGCCCAGCCAATCTCCTTCCAATGTTATTTAAATCATGAAATAATGTTTTCCGTCAGAATACTGTATTATTCAGATTTTAAATTCATCATAAGCTTTTATTATATGAGCACAGTCTATGACAGAACTCCTCACTCCCACTTATGTATGGTGTTCACATAAACACATCCCAGGAGAAATATTACTTAAACCATGAGTCAAAGAAGGATGCTTTCAATTTATCTGGCAAACCCTTATATGGAGTGTAGATTTTCACTCACAATTATTACAATTATTTTATTGTATATTAATGTACAAAATATGATGAAAATGTTAGGTAGTTTTAAATTGTGTCCCATGGCTAAAAACATGTTTAGTTTCGTTTCAATTTGTTACTTTTTGAATTTCAATTCGTCTGAAATTCAGAAATGATCCATTCCCAGTTTTTCCAAGGATACCAAATTACGGTTCTAGCAGATAGCTCCCTAATTTGGTATCCTTAAAAACAGTAATCGCACACATGTGTACCAAATTTTCTACTAAACAATTGACTGAAAGATCAAAATGTTTATCTCCCTAATTTGGTGTTTAGCTCCCTAATTTGGTATCACCTTTACATGGGATTGCCATAATTAAGGACAATCCCATGTAAGGATACCAAATTAGGAAGCATTCTATAAAACAACTGAAGGGTCAAAATTAAAGGGACACTATAGTCACCAGAACAACTACAGCTTATTGAATTTGTTCTGGTGAGTAGAATCATTACCTTTTAGCTGTAAACACTGTCTTTTCAGAGCAAATCTGTAGTTAGATCCTTCCTGGGTCATGGCTGCCTAAAATGCATCGAAACATTCAGTATGTCCTCCCTCTGCATGCAGACACTGAACTTTCCTCATAGAGATTCATTGATTTAATTCATCTCTATGAGGAGATGCTGATTGGCCAGGGCTGTGTTTGAATCATGCTGGCTCTGCCCCTGATCTGCCTCTTTGTCAGTCTCAGTCAATCCTATGGAAAAGCATTGTGATTGGATCAGGCCACCACTTCTGATGTCAGCAGGTAGTGGGCAGGTCTAAAGGAAACAGGTTCAAAGTATGCAGCTGCAGACTTGAATACAAGTAAGATTTTACTATATTTAGGGAAGCATGAGGGGATCAGGGGGGCTTTAACTCTGTAGGGTCAGGAATACATGTTTGTGTTCCTGACACTATAGTGCTCCTTTAAGAAAAAAAGCCCTCCTAATTTTGCTGTTTCAGTTGCTAATTGGAAAATGTGCTATCCTTATGAAAACAAATGGATTAGAACAGTCTAAATTTGTTTATTTTAGGTTTGTTTTGATTTGTAAGGCATTCGGAAATTCGTCTGAATTTCAATTAAGAACTAAACTAATTGCTCATGTTTATTATTCAAATATGTTATGGAATTTGACATATATATCCTATGGTAAGATTTTTGGGTTTCCTCAATATGTACACTTAATGATGGGTATCTTTATTAAACACCAAAATATAACTATATTTTGGTATATATTTGGTGTTTAATAAAGATACCCATCATTAAAGGACCACTATAGGCACCCAGACCACTTCAGCTCAATGAAGTGGTGTGGATGCCAGGTCCCCCTAGTTTTAACCCTGCAGCTGAAAACAAAGCAATTTCATAGAAACTGCTATGTTTCACTGAGGGTTAATCCAGCCTCTAGTGGCTGTCTCACTGACAGCCACTAGAGGCAGTTTCTGCGATTCTCACTGTGAAAATCACGCTGGACGTCCATAGGAAAGCATTGAGTAATGCTTTCCTATGGGCAGTTTGAATGCGCGCACACGGCTCTTGCCACGCATGCGCATTCGGTGCTGACGTCAGCAGGAGAAGGAGAGGTCACCAGTGCAGAGGGAGCCAGGCGCTGGAGAAAGGTAAGTGGCTGAAGGGGTTTTAACCCCTTCAGCCCAGCAGGAGGGGGGCCATGAGGGTGGGGGGGGGATCTAAGAACAAGTTTGTTTTCCTGGCACTATAGTGCTCCTTTAAGTGTACATATTTCACATTCACACTAACTTCTCTTATTACTGAAATATCCCTATCCTTCTGCTCACCTGTCCCTGGCAACACCATCTTCATTACTTCCACTTTACTCCACTCCCCAACTATTCATCCCATCCTCTATATACATACCCTCCTACAAAACTTTCAAATCCTTTTCCCACCTACACTTCCTTTCTATCCTTCTGCTCCTAGCAGCTGGTGATGTCTCTCCAAACCCCGGTCCCATCTCGGCAAACCCACCACGTACTAACTTAAGGAACCACACCAATCTCTTACCCATGTTACTCTTCCTCTAAATCCTCCTTCAATACTGCCCTCTGGAATGCACGCTCTGTTTGCAATATTACAAAATCCACTGCTGTCCACGACCTCTTCATCTCTTGTTCCCTAGAGTTACTAGCCTTAACAGAATCATGGCTCTCCCCCTCTGACACTGCTACCACTGCATCTTTATCCTTTGGTGGTCTTCAACTTACCCACCACCCAAGACTCTCTGAATGTAAAGGTGGTGGTGTAGGGTTTCTCTTCTCACCTCTCTGCTCCTTCAAACTTCTATCCACCCCCCCTTCCTCTCTTTCCCATCATTTGAAAATGTATTTGATTCGCCTCTTCAAACCCTTCTCTGCTAACACTGCCGTTATTTATCGCCCCCTCCCCCCGGTTCCCCTCTCCCCTTACTTGATCACTTTGCTGCCTATCCTACTTCCTCTCTTCTAATATTCTATCCCTAATTCTCGGGGACTTCAATATTCCCATTAACGCACCTTTGACATCAGCAGCCTCTAAACTACTCTTTAATTACTTCCTCCCTTGGGCTATCACAGTGGGCTAATTCTCCCACCCATGTAGCTGACAATACCCTCGACTTTTTCTTTCATGTATGTAGAGTATCTAATATCTGCAACACTCCATTTCCTCTCTCTCATCACCACCTCTTATCATTTGCTCTCAAATATCCCCTCACCCAACAACCTCAGCCTAACCCCCCTCAACTCAGGAGAAACCTTAATTCTTTTGACCTCCAGCAGCTGTCAGCTGATATTGATTCACAAGTGCTATCCATCCCTTCTGTCTCCTGTCCCTCTCTGGCCATCTCCACATATAACAATAACCTCACATCTGCCTTGAATGCTGCATCCCCGCTCAGTGACCCATGGGGCCCCGGTGCGAAAATTGATCCGTGGGCCCCCCCTGCGCTTACTCGGCGCGGGTCGGGGTCGCAACACATGGTGGAGGGCACCTGGTTGCAGGGCTGCGACCACGGTATGCACACACACACCTAAAGGACCACTACAGACACACAGATCACATCAGCTCAATGAAGTGGTCTGGGTGCTAGGTCCCTCTAGTTTTAACCCTGCAGCTAAAAAGAGCAGTTTCAGAGAAACGGCTATGTTTCACTGAGGGTTAATCCAGCCTCTGGTGGCTGTCTCATTGACAGCCGCTAGAGGAGCTTCCGCGATTCTCACTGTGAAAATCACAGTAAGAAGACACTGAATGTCCATAGGAAAGCATTGAGTAATGCTTTCCTATGGGCGGTTTAAATGCACGCACCTCTTGCCGCGCATGTGCATTCGGAGCTGAGAGGCGGAGGGATCCCCAGCGTCAAGGGTGGTGAAGACACACACTCTCATGAA